GAGCTGTGTGAGCAACCAAAGACCAAGCCAGACTTACATACTGTGTATGTTAAAATACTTTAAAAATAACTAAATCAAGAAATTTTAATGTAATAAAAATAATCAATGATACAATAAATAGAAAACAATTTAAGTATTTAAATGTATAGATCATAATTACTATAATAAAATAATTATTATTCATATTATTATTTTATTAATATAATACATTTTTATGTAAAATTATCATGCAATAAAAATAATAAATGTAAATATTGTAAAAAAAAAAATGCATCTAACTAGTCTATATTTTTCTGCTCACTTTTAAACTATGTTTAGCATTACATTTTAATCACTGCAACATTAAATCAGTATCACACTACAATATTGTATTCAAAATTCTATTCAGATACGACCCATAAAGACCTTTTGCCAGGTTTGATGTCTGTGAGTCTTGTTACTAAACATGACACACCAAGTTATCATATGACCTCAGAAGAATACAGCACACGAGTCATACAAAAAAATATAGAGAAACATAAACAATCACAAATATTCACAGAAAAAAAGAAAGAAGAAGAAGAAAGTGACGTGACATGTGGCCAAGTATGGTGACCCATACTTGGAATTAGTGCTCTGCATTTATCCCATCCAAAGTGCACACACACAGCAGTGAACACACACACACCGTGAACACACACCCGGAGCAGTGGGCAGCCATTTATGGAAAAATTGAAATCGCATCATATGACCCCTTTAAGTATTTAAATGTATAAATTATTATAAATACATTATTAAAACGCTAAAAATACATGAATCAAGAAATTTATTTCTTGTAATATTATAGAAATAATAAATAGTACATTTAAAATAATAATATAATTTAGGTATTTAAATGTATGAATTATTGTTGATATATTAAAATATAAAATCTTATTTGAAATACTAAAAAATACTAAAAAAACACATAAATCAAGATGAAATAATGTAATCAAAATAATTAATAAAAATATGACAATAATATATTTAAATGTATAAATTATTAATATTTTTTAAAATAATTAAACTCTAATCTAAATTAAAATGCTAAAATAGTACATAAAAATGAAATAAATAAAATATAAATATTAGATGAAAAACGTTTAGATGAAAAACTAAATAAAATAACAAAACTAAAACTGAAATAAAAATAAACGAAACCTAAAATGTAATATTAAAAAAGTAATACAAATGAAAATAAAAAAGCACATAACATAACTCCTAAACATTTACATAAAATTAAATTGAAAACTGAAAATGTAAAAATAAAAGCTAATTCAAAATTTTATAACAATTCAATTCAGTTCAATTCAAGTTTATTTGTATAGCGCTTTTCACGCGCTTTTTACAGCAAATTAAGTTTCTACAATATCCATAAACACTTAATTAACAATGATTAATGACACTGAAATATATTTTTGGGGTAACAGAAGAGTGCACTCAAGGGATGTTTTCATAGTTGACCTTTATTGTATCTTGTTTGTATGACATTGTAATTTACTTTCTTTTATTTGTTTATTATTTCCACTTTATATCAAAAGGAACAATTATATTCCAAGTTCAAATTTAACTTTGTGCCTGTCTGTTGTTTCTCACCACAACCCGCCACCTCCTTTACGATCTCTAAATCGTCGGATAAATTCAATTCAATTCTATCTGCAATAACAGCAATTAATGTATTCAATTATTGCCAATTCCTTAGACACGTGCTACATATGTACGGATCCCCGCACATGACATGCAAGAAGAAATAAATAAATTGTGCGCATGATTTACTAATTAGTTCCCTCGATGTACTAAAACGTGCACACGATTACTATTTCGTTCCCTCGATTTGCTAAATCGTGCACACAATTTACTAATTCGTTCTCACGATTTAGCAAATCGAGGGAATGAATTAGTAAATTGTGCGCACAATTTATAAATCGAGGGAACAAAATAGTAAATTGTGCGCACGATTTAGCCTACTATTTTTTTCCTGCATGCCATGTGCTGGGCTCCGTACATTTGCATGTTGTTTTAAGTAAGAATTATTGTAAGTAAAATGGAGATTTGAAGAATATTTCAATGAAGATTTTGACAGTATCATGTAAACAAACGTTTGATGAGTTTAAACAAACAGTCTGAAGTGGGCACATTTTCATGCGAACTATGTAATAAAAAAGCTTTAGATAAGTGCTTCATTTGTAGACATATTCAACTGAACCACATGCTTTCATCAAAAACACTGCCTACTAAACGCTCTGGCACGCTGCATGTGTCCATTAAAACCTCTGAAATGACAGATGAGGGAAGCTCAAATTGTGCGGACACTAATCTGAAATACATTGCATTGATCGGCTGGAGATTACAGCATCCCAGCAATGAGTTGCAATTAGTTACATCACATTTCTCAATCAATTAAACTTACTCTGAGGCCACACTTTTTAATATCACCGGTGAGACTCTTGCATGAAAGGAAATTAGCGCTCTCTCTCGTTAGGTGGTAACTTCTCCTTTTGTAGTTTTATCACAGACACCAACTGTGGTCTTCAGATCTGTCTCTTGATCAGATGTAGTACAAGGAATCACCAGGAATGAAAATGAGAAAAGACTTTACCCTTCACGGGCTGGAGTTAATATGAACAACTGACTATAGCAAAGATAAGAGTTAAAACAGGTCAAATATGAAAGATCTGCACAAAATGACTCTGGATTGACTCCTAAAATGTGCATGGATTCACCTTCAGGTTGTGTGAAGGATAACTCTCTCAGCAAACGTTTGATCCATTTCAATTGGGAGCAAACCTTTTCCTTTACACTGCACATTTAAGATGAATAGATCTCATTTATCTGTTTAGCGGTTAGCAGAAGCTTTAAACCAAAGCAGCATAAAAGATAAATGAAATTAAATGAAATGTGTTGGATTTTGCAGCTACATTTGAGCAAGGGAAGAAATATTTATAATAGGGATGAACAATATCACTTATTTTCATTTGGTCTGGTAAAGGGCACACAGGGTAAACGGCTTTGGTTGAGAATTGTTTAGAATATGTGTATGGCATCAATAAAACAAAACAAAAATCTATAGAATTTATTGCAAAAAGTCTAGTAGTTTTGTGTGTTGTGACTTACCAGCCCACATTTCTTTTATTTCAGGGGTTTTCCAATTGGTTTATGACAAAATATTTTTGGGGGGCAGAAAAACATCAATCAATCAATAATCTATGTATATTAGATCAGTGTTTCCCAACCGGGGTGCCGTCTGTCGAGAGCAGGGGTGCCGTGTAAAAAATCCTTTTTTAATATTTTTAAATTGCTAAAATGTTCAAAAAAGCATCTATTATATCAGTGGTTCCGAACCCTGGTCCTGGAGGCACCCCAACACTGCACATTTTGCATGTCTCCTTTCTCTGACACACCAATTTTAGGTCTTGAATTCTCTACTAATGAGCTGATGACCTGAATCAGGTGTGTTTGATTAAGGAGACATGCAAAACGTGCAGTGTTGGGGTGCCTCCAGGACCAGGGTTGGGAACCACTGTATTATATAATATCCATTTCTGATGTCGCCAATAATTAGAGATGCACCGAAATTTCGGCTGCCGAAAATTAGTTCCAATTCAAATATTGTGACAAAATTTATTTCCAAAGGGTGCCGCGACTAAAACAAGGTTAGGAAACACTGTATTAGATTATTGAATTGTTATTTATTTATTAGAAAAGATTAAATAAAACCATGTTTTCAATATAAAAAAATAAATAAAATTATATTTATTTTTCTTTTTTTCTTTGTTTTTATAATACCATGCATACTGTTATATTTACTACTTTATTTTTCATGTACAACAAAATTTTATAGAAAAAATATGTTAAATATTTTACATTATAAAACCAAATATATATTTTTGAAAAATATATATGTATATAATAATTTTTAATTGATTAAAATATTTTTATATATTAATAAATATCAAATCATA